TGTATATTTATCCATAGCCTCTCTGTATTCGAGCTGTTTCGGGCATATTTAGTATAAATACGTATAGTAGTCGTAAGAAAAAGATCAAAATTTGTTATATTATTGAGACACTTTACTTGTTTCCTTATTGGTTTCGGGGGTGCTTGGCCACTTTCCGATCTCACAACTGCTCTGAAACTCGACGTATACTCATCTAGCTCTGCGAGTTGCTTTTCTATCGCCTGTTGTTCACCAGCATTCTCACTGTATATTGGCATACTGATAAAGCTTGAGACTACTTCTTGTGGCTATAATAGCATCATGGACGTATAAAAACGATAGTGTAACACTACTCAGCTACTGTAATTTAGAAATAGCAATATTCCCTGCAAGCTTTGGTTCACTGGTTCTGGCCTTCTACTTGTGTCACAGTACATAGATCCCGTCTATGGATTCAGCCAAGGGTTTTAGGGTTTTAGGGTTTTAACAATTTTTCTTCGATACGGAGTATAAATGGCTGCAATATTCTGCGAATGCCGAATGGAATGCCTTCAAATACTAAATAGTCATTCTAATAAATATGTCCTGGTACCAGACCACATACCAGCCTACATATGTACCAGCCACCAGGCTTAAAAAGTCTTAAGAAGCTAAGGCTATGTAGTATGTACCAGGCACCAGCCGGTTTCATTGTAAACTTTTAATTAATTACATGTGTACATAGACCTGATCTCCAGTCTTCCGAGGTGAAAATTTCTAACTCGCGCTAGACTAATGACAACAATGACCTTTTGCATGCACTCACATATGCCCGCTCTTTAGTTTATAATTTCAATACCCATCAAACTCATAATAGTGACGAGTCTGATAAGTGATGCATGTAAAAACAACATGAAATCATTTGCTTATCTGCATGGACTATTTCTCGCTCCACCTTCCGTTAAAGAATATACCGTTCAGAATCGATCATAATCTGGTTCTTTTTGTAGGTTTTAGTCTTATATCGTGATGCATACCATTCTGCCCGAAACAGATTATAAACAATAAACAAATATTGACAAAACACTATAGGTAAACAAAAATACAGCAATATTTGTAATTTAAAATAAAGAACCGAGATAAATATATATGATTTAGAATATAATCAAGACAAATTTAATGTACATACTCGCAGACTAGAACGAAATTGTGAAATCACTCACGCAATATATATATATATATATATTCATTTATAATTACATATATATATATATATAATATACTTATTTATTCTATTATATATATACATATATAATTACATATATATATATTTAGATACACACACACACACACACACACACACACACACACACACATACACACACACACATATATATATATATATAAATATATATATATATATGTACATATAAATATATATAATTCCAT